TATATAATATTTAAATTTACATTTTTTTAATATTGTAGGATCCAACTAATATGAGACTTCTTTTAGGCATACATACATAACCTAACCTTTTCTCTCAATGTATTAACCGACTTCAATAACAGATTCTTTTGACATCTTCCATACCAAGTGTCTGCGGTTATGTGCGTTAGTAAATACTCTGGATGGATTTACTACTGAATATATCTGCTGTGTGTGTGTGTGTTTGTCTATTTATGGTCGACTGTCTGTCTGTGTCTCTCTCTGGTGTCTGAATGTTCAAGTCATCTTAATTTATCAAAACTTTAAAGGAAGTTACACTCTTTTTTGTGTTTCTGTGTGTGAGTATGTTTTGTCATTTAACGCATTTGTTGCATTTAGTTTCAGTCACAACTTCAGCACTCGTCTTACTTCCGCTCCACTCTCTGGCTAAATGTTTTGCTCTTTAGCAAATGCTTTTTCATTTGTGTGTACGTGTTTCTTTTTTTTTTTTTTTCTTGTCTTAGAGTTTTGCGACAATTTATTATTGCGTTTTTTGTTCACTCCTTTATTTCGTCCTTTATGTTGGAGGTATAGCTTTGTTTGGGTCCTTTGTGCGGCTAAATGTTGTGCGTTCATTTGGAATAGTTTTAAACGAGGGGCCTATGCAGGACCATCTACAGCCTTCGATTTTTAAAGAATATTTTTCAAGGACCATACAAGTCGCCGATTTTTTAAAGAATATTTTTTCAAGGACCTTATCTTGGATTTTTAAGGATTTGCTCATCGTTCTTATCAAACCACCCCTCCTTCGCCCAAACATACTTATACTCATAATCGCACATATCGATTCTGGCACACTCCATCTATTTAGAGTTTGGAGGGATATTGCTGCTGCTTCCACATTTTACCACCACCTCCAAACGTCGTGGTTTCATAGCTGATGACGGGGCAGATACTGTTGCATGAGTATGAATTTCAAATGACATTTAGCTGTAACAACTTAAGTCATAAATAAATTTCTCTCAAAGGATTGTATCTTCCTATTGTTTGTTGGTGGTGTTCTTGTTCCTTTTTATTTACTTCTTTGTTTGTTGGCATTTCAAACTGTTAAAAAACTCGCACACACACTCGGTCCATTATTTTATGTTTTATGAGGCGATAAATGGAGATGAATTTATGGCAAACGTTTTACGATGATTTTGAAAAATCACTACAATAATTAAACATTGCAATTCAGTTTTTTCGTTGTTGTTTGTTTTTAGTGATAGCTATGTGTGATAGCTTAGTGATAGCTATGTGCGAATTTTTTTCTGATGCTATGAATTTAATGGCCAATGAACTGAGGAGAACAAATAAAATAAGTCATAAGTTTATTGTCATTTGGATGTATGTTTTTAAAGCAAAAATATATAATCGAAGATCTATGTTCTTCCGTTCTGCACCTAAGTATCCCAACATGGTGAAGCCGTGATGGGGAATGAGGGTAGTGTGAGTACGAAAATCGTCCCGAAAGTTTACTGTATTACTTTTTACTTCCTGGACGCGAGAAGTCGATTTAGAACTTGATATTTCCATTGAAGGTAGGCGCATCCCCACCGTCCATAATTCGAAAATCCTTGGGGTGGTTTTCGATAACCTCCTTCATTTCTCCTTGCATTCTAACTACATTAACCAGAAGGTGAAAGCTAGGAATAAAGTTCTGAATGTTTTGGCTGGCACCTCCTGGGACAAGGATAAAGAAACCTTGGTAACGACATACAAGATCGTTCTATTCTTAATTATGCTTCCCCAGTCTGGACTTCTTCCCTTACCGACACACAATGGAGATCCTTGCAAACAGATGACGTGCTTCGATCACCATAATGTGTTGTTGACTAGACAGTTCCTGCTGCCATGCCATTTGCCCGGTCATCCCAAATATCACACATTGATGGCAGATCCACCACATCTGCCAGGATATCCAACACTATCATGATTGCATCCAAGACATCATTTCATCGGACGTCAACAGATTGTCCATAGCGAACACGATGAAAAACGGGCATTAACTGGCGGTCTCGCATTGTCCGCGGAATCCTAAATAGGTGTCCCTCCTGCCAGCAAAGCCCTCACGACACACGCCAGCTATTCAATTGTTCGTCGTCCTTGCCTACAAATCCATTACCTATAGACTTATGGATAAAGCCAATAGAGGTGGCACGATACCTTCTTCAAATCCGAATTCCTAATTAATATATTTTCCTTGTTCCCTTTTCTACAATATTTTCAGAAAAAAACTTTCACCAGCAGCCAACATGTTACAACAACTACATTATCGCGCCATCTACATATCAAAATGAAACGTATGGTTTGTGTAGTAAATAGATTGGCATCATCTAAAGTCTCCAAAAAAGTAATGCCAAATTGTATTAATGGAGAACGACACCATTCCATACTCGCCTTGGATACTCCTTGAAAAAATGTTCCTTAAAAAATCCACGCCTTGTATGATCCTTGAAAAAAATATTCTTTTAAAAAATCCACGCCTTGTATGATCCTTGAAAAAAATATTCTTTTAAAAAATCCACGCCTTGTATGATCCTTGAAAAAATATTCCTTAAAAAACCACGCCTTGTATGATCCTTGAAAAAATATTCCTTAAAAAATCCACGCCTTGTATGATCCTTGAAAAAAATATTCTTTTAAAAAATCCACGCCTTGTATGATCCTTGAAAAAATATTCCTTAAAAAACCACGCCTTGTATGATCCTTGAAAAAATATTCCTTAAAAAACCACGCCTTGTATGATCCTTGAAAAAATATTCCTTAAAAAATCCACGCCTTGTATGATCCTTGAAAAAATGTTCCTTAAAAAATCCACGCCTTGTATGATCCTTGAAAAAAATATTCTTTTAAAACTCCACGCCTTTGTTGGTCTTTAAAAAATCCACACCTGAGTTGGTGCTTCAAAAAAATACTTACTTAGCTGGCTTGTGACAAAACTTTCGTTCAATAAGCCGAAATTAAAAAATATTTCCAGGCGCGTCGGTCTTTTGCGAAGTTTTTTCAATTTGAAAGACCATTTTCGGCAATGTTTTCTTCCACTTGATCCTTCCACCTTATTCGCGGCTTTACCTTCTGCGTGAACCATCAGCTGGTTCGTTTTTATATGCCTTCTGGGCTGGGGCATCTTCATCCATTCTCACAATATGACCTAGTCAACGTAGTCGCAGCAGCTCGATCCGTCTGACTATGTCCGAGAATAGATGGTATAGCTCATGATTCATTCGAAGGCGATATTCACCGTCAACGCAAATCGGCCCGTAGATCTTTCGGAGAATGTTTCCCTCAAACACTCCAAGAGCTGTCCCATCTGCTTGCGTAAGTACACATGATTCAGATCCAAATAACAGCACGGGTAGTATCAGCGTCTTGTAGAGTGTGAGTTTGGTGTGGCGGGACATGTGATGTTTGGTGTACAGAGTGTCATTTCTGTTCACTTTTGCCTCTCGTGTGACCTTTTCCGGCAGGATGTTAAAAAGGTCACACGACAAACTGTCTGATATTAAAGGGCTCCGAGACGTCCTTTCCCACTTTAACTGTTGATCTTATGCCAGTTAAAGTTATTCTGCATAGCCGTATTAATTTTGCAGGAATGCCGAACGTAGACATGGATTTAAACACCTCCGAACGAATAGGGCTGTCGAATGCGGCTTTATAGTCGACGAATAGGTGGAATGTGTCGATGTGTGTTTTCGTGGCGTTTTTCCAGGATTTGGCGCATCGTGAAAATCAAGTCAAGGGTGGATTTTCCAGGTCTGAAGCCACATTGGAATGGTCCAATAATGTCATTGACCATTGGCTTCAGTCGTTCACACAGTACGCTGGATAGCACTTTATATGCGATGGGAAGGAGACTTATTCCTCTATAGTTGGCACATATCGTCTTGTCTCCTTTTTTATCCTTTAAAAAATCTACGCCTTTAATTGTCATTGAAAAATATCCTTTAAAAAATCTACGCCTTTAATTGTCATTGAAAAATATCCTTTAAAAAATCTACGCCTTTTAATTGTCATTGAAAAATATCCTTTAAAAAATCTACGCCTTTTAATTGTCATTGAAAAATATCCTTTAAAAAATCTACGCCTTTTAATTGTCATTGAAAAATATCCTTTAAAAAAACACGCCTTTTAATTGTCATTGAAAAATATTTTTCGAAACATCCACGCCTCTTATAGTCCTTGAAAAAATATTCTTTAAAAAGTTTTAAAAACATTTCTATTAAAATTACATTTTAACTTTGTTTTTTGTTTGTTTCTCTGTTTATTTTCTTAAATTAAAATATGCACAATACAAATTTAATCAATTTATATATATAATTTTTTATATATTACACAAATAAGCGTTATTGTGATTTGTATTTTTTTCAATTGGATTCTCTTCTTTTCACTAAGAACATGAATATTGGTTTTTTGTTTTTGTTATAAATTGTTAAAATCAAATCAGCTGAGCTTGATTTTCAAAGTAATTTTTGTTTTTGTTTCAATCCTAATAAGTATATTTTTGTTGTTGTTGTGTAGCGACTACTTTATGTTCCATTAATTATTAATGATTTTTTAATATAAAACAAAATTATTGGTATAACTCTTGTTGTTAAATTTGTTCTTTGTTTTTTGTGATAAATTTTTGTTTTATAATAATAATAATTAGAATAATAATAATAGTAGTTGTTGTATTTTTTTATTGTATATTCATGTTATTTACTTAAAATAAAACTATTTTTTTACAATAGAGTAAAACAGCAGGGGGAAATGTATATATAGGATTAGCAATAGTGGCGTGGAAATCAATTTGTAACGTGACTAATGTAGGGGGAAAAAGAAAAACAAAGACAAAATTAAATTAAAAAAATTCCTAATAGAAACAATTAAAGAACCCTAATTAAAAAAAATAAATTGCATTTTGGTGAAAAAAGGAATTCAACATTATTCTGTTTTGTTTTGTTTTCATTATTAGTTTTTTTCTTTTTCATCATATACAAACATTTTTATATGCAACCCATCCATTCCTCCCACCTTGTTCGGCTAACCACCAATGGACTTTCAAATTCTATTCCTGATTTATATTTTTTAAAACATAATTTACCACTAATGCAAATATAGCAAAACATATTAAAATTATCAGATTTGACTGCCAATTTAAATAGGAATTCGAAAGACTTTTGCCCGAATTTGCATCGGCATGAGCTTGAGCAGCACCTGCATTATTTGCATCACCATTTAGGCCACCATTTGCGGCAATTCCATTTAAACCTATGCTACCACCATTTGCAAGGCCACCATTGGCCAAATTTGTTTTGCCATTAATGCCGTTGGCCGAAGCACTACCACCATTGGCGGCCGAGGCAGCATTGAGGGCCTTCAATTTCAGCTCCTTTTCACTTTGCAATTTCTTGTTGATCTCCTCACAGATCTCGGGGAATAGCTCAACAAAATGTGGATTTTTTAAATTAAATGCAAGTGATTTTTTGGCTAGTTGTTGTTTTTCATATGTTGTTGTTTCAATGGAGCCTAAGGTAGCGGTGCTTTCCAACTGGAAAAAAAGAGTCGAAATACAAATATTAATGAAGGTTAATTATACCAATAAAAATAATGCATACCATAAAACTTAATAGCCCAGTTAATATTGTGCCGACACACCATGTTGGATTCCAGGTGTCTGGATGGAAATCTGAAAATATAAATAAAATAATTAATAACATTGTTAATAAATTGTATTAAATTAAAAAAACGAGCTTTCTTCATATTGAAAATATATATTTTTTAATTTAAATCCATTTAAAATGATTTTCCTAAAATTCTCAAAATTCAATTTCCAAATATTACCTGATATACTTAAACACAATCGTGTATTTGTTTTAAAACGACCATTTGGTGTAAGCATATATATTGAAGGCGGCTTAAATGGGAATTCTCGGGGAAACAACAACGTCCCATGATAATAACCACCATAGTATGGTGAATCTTCTGGGCCCTTTACAACATAATGCCATTCTAGTATATTATTTGGCAATGGTTCTGCTGTTATATATGGCAATGGATCTCGTTTTAAACGCATATAATCTTGTTTCATACGCGAAACAGCTGTCGGTTGTTTACGCCCCGATGATGACGATGAGGAGTTGGTGATCTTTTTAACTTCCATTGCGGTGCCGTTAACAGCGATGTGTTGTGACCTCTAAGGCAGGATTGAAATCAATTTAGATTTATAGCAGCGACTATCTGAAAATAAAATTTAATAAATCGACGTAGTGTTAAAGGGGTTAGAAAATAGCCTCAAATATGTAAAAAAAAATCTGTTTGAAAATGGGCCTACATCCACCTTAAATATTTGTCGGAGACCTTAAGTATGTGCGATATATTTTTGATGAGAATAAAATACGATGTTGAAATAACGATAGAGATCGCAATATTTAGGATATAAATTTTAATTCTAACATTCTAAGGTTATTATTAGGATGGGGATATATCGGTACATGATTTGTCATAGCCATCATATAAAGTTATCCATATTCGGTATAATAAAGGTTCTAGGCGTTTTTCTGCAAACGAAGTGGTTATAATTAGGCACTGCGGATTGGCGGAAGTTGAAAAAAGTTAGAAAAATGCCAACATAGGTCCACCTTCTGTACATAGCCCCCTCACAGAGGTCTCGCCCAATTTGATATACAGTCGAAATCTTTAATAACAACGGTTATATGACCAAAATAAAGGCAGAACGTTCCTCTGGACATTTGGATAAGTCGTTAAAACCGATATGCCGATTTCTACTGATGGTGTTAGGCCCATTTTCCACCTTTGAACAAATTGAGAAGGAGCCACCTTTGAACAAATTGAGAAGGAGTCGGACATCGACATAATCAGACGTATCGAGCTGCAGCGAATACGTTGGTAGGTCCATGGCCTATAAATAAGGTCACCAAGGGAGACCAGCTGATTATCGATACCTCTCAAGTTTGCTGTCAAAATGCATTATCGTGAATTGACTTCCATTATGAAAACGTAAACAAATTCGAAATTTTTGACATTAGACTTGAGAAAAAACAGCTGTTTTCCGATTTCGATTGCTATCTTGGTGACCTTATTAATAGATCTTGGCTAGGTCATGTTGTGAGAGTGGATGAGGTTGCCCCAGCTCAAAAATTTGAAGCCGGTGCTAATAGCAAAAATGTAATCATTTTATCGAAGAAATCCATAATATTCTGTTTAAAGGAAATAGTATCGCGGGTTGGCATCTGTCTTAAATCAATGTCCGAAAGTCGGCCACCCACACAAATTAGTCCGATTATATGAGATTCTGTCGCTTAGCTTATTTTGACATCTATCCGCAGGAGAAGTCTACATACCCAGCCGAAAACCGGTTACACACTAAAACTATTCCATATAAAAGAAGACTCTGTCGCAAAGTAATTATGGATTCTGCCCATAGGAGAAAGTATATATAATGTTTCCAGTACAATTTTGAAAGTCCATAATAATAAAAAAAATAATTTCAGGGCTTTAATAGCAATATTGCATTTAAAAAAGCATTGGAAAGTGCAAGGCTCTTAGGGAAAGTTTGGAGGTCCATATCTCTGGACGTACGGAATTTTAAAAGAAATGTTTCTTTGACGGCTATAAGTGGTAAATATTCGAAAATACACCCATCCGCCGTAGACATATTCTTGAGTCATGTGACAAGGTCGATGCTAATGACGGTATGCATCGATTTAATTCGAATATTTTAAAAATTTCGTTTCCGATTCAGATGTATCTTTGCAAATGTTTTTTCCACATTGTCAGCAAACTTCAGTTGCATTATTTCTCATTTCATACACAGAGTGTTTCATTAATGTTAAGATTTTGCTGCTGAATTAAATTAATTGATAAGGAGTAACCTTGCATACCAATGCTGCATACTGACCGATATTCTTATGTTACGAACTTTACAAAACATGCCTCCGGCCTGTGATACTTTATCTTAAAAACATATAAAAATACGAGAACGTTAGTACATGCCAATTATATTTAAAAATTATTTCTACAATACCTCCAATTTATATGCACTTATTAAATCTCTCATCGATTTGATAAAGAATGAAGTATTAAAATCGTTAATACCCATTATAGGCTTGTAGGGTACCCAACTGGCTTTGAGCCCCTAGCGGTGAACAGATTACCGATAATGGGGAAGTACACGTGTCCCACTCAACAACGTAAATAGCCAAATAATAACCACAAACCCCCAACACTACAACAACTACAACACTCATTAGAATAAACAAACAGATATATAAACAACAACGAAATTATGAATAATAACAAAATACTTTTGTGCATACTCAATCATGAAATGCAATCGCTGAGAAATTAAGTATTTATTTTCTTTTTTTTCATTTCAACAAAGGCATGTAATGTAAAGAAAGATTCGGTCAATTTTCTACCGATTGCCCTGACCTTCGTTCCAATTCTTTTCTTTTTTTATCATAATATTTTTTTCATTATATTCTCCTACTCTTTAATTCATAATTCGGTGGAGAGCGGTGTAAAGTGTTTGTATACCCGAACATGTGTATGTGTGTCTCCGCTGTTGTGTTATTGTTCTTACCTTTTGTTTTCAGCGACGTTTTGTAATTCGAATTATTTTTTAATTGCAATTTTCAATTATTATGACGTCCACCAAGTTAGTTGACAAAACAATGGGGGAAATGTTACAAACGCACGCACGCACCCCTCCGCTGCTTTCTTTGTTATCATTCGTCGCCACCTCTGATGATGATGATTTTGGCTTTTAAACCCCACCACTCGACTAAACGTTGTGTCTTGCGTCTCCACCACCAACCAAACCAAATGAAAGCCAGTAATTATTATTGCAAAGCGATATTGGTAGGCGATAGGGAAGTGTCAGACGACAAGTGGGGATGGATAGATGGATGATTGGAACGAACGAACAGCAAAGACAATAACAACTACTTTGTAAATACGTAAATTGGGTTCTCTATTTTTTTCTCCTCGTCGTCTACAACTACTTCAGTTTGCTTTGTTTTGTATAACTTTTTTTTGATATTTTACACAGTGTTCGTTTTGTTTATTATTTGTTATCTTCAAAAAATAGAAGATTCTTGATTTCTGTATGTGTTTTTATTGTATTTTTCTTCTTGTATTATTTATCACTATAATTTTCTTTTTTAGTTCCTTCTGATGAATTTCTCTTGATTGAATTTATGCATTTTTCCACGACGATTATTAAAATGTGTTGTTTAGTGGATAACGTAACGTGAAGTAACGTAGCAAATCAGCTGTTATCGTAAAGATGTAAGTTATTGTAGTAGAATTATTCGACGACGTAACGTAGTGTTGTAATCAAACGAATTAAGGAATTGCATTTTTTTAAGTTTGCCTTTAAATATTTCATGATATAATTCATTATCATATCAATATCATAATTAATATCATAATTAATATCATAATTGATTAATCATGATTTATATTCTTTATTCTGCTTTAAATAAGTTAAGAGGTATAAATTATGATAATGTTTACAACAAGACAATGTAGGTTATGTTCTGACAATGAAGAGGAAAATGCAGCCCTGTCTTGTGGCTTGGCATGTCTGAATAACTAAAATAAGTTGTTCTTTGGTTTATTTTAAATATTTTACTAATGATGCTAAAAATTATTGGAAATGAAAAGATAGAAAAGTGGAAGAGGGGGAGGGAGCAGAGAAAGAATGTATTAGATGTTATAGCCCACCAACGCTTACAGGACGTACCATATTCATAAAAGTGTGTCTAATTTATGCCAAAGTACAAAATCGCTGGTCTGTTGGCGTGAATTTCATCCTGACCCAAAGAAATAAGCTTGAATGTATTAAATAATAAGATTTCGGTGGCCGAAACGAACCTTTTTATAGAAATAGTTTTGTCACTTGCAATCGTAATAAATGAGCACCGCTATCCATTCATCGTAACTGTTGATACAACCTCATTTTAGGAAAAGTAACTTCCTGACCATAATATACACCAAACAGATACACTTACAATCCCAGTTTCCACGACAGAGGAGTCTACTATCGGAGTCTTACTCATCTAACGTCTGTCACCTCAACCCATTGTGTAAAAGCAATAAGGCTGCTACAACAACGTACATTTACATGGAAGCGGGTTTTACGATACCGGATTGACAGGAAATTACTCGACCTGCAGCTGCCAATCCAACATATACCGGAACGCTTGTTTCGGCATTTTGGTCCGTACCGGGATCAAACCCCGGACCATTGTTCTTTTCGAGTCTTCGTCCAAGACGTCAACTTCTTCGTCGGAGTACTTGACAGCACTTAACGGTGCTGTTCCTACTCATGATATTGAACAAGGTTGTGTTGGTTACAGCGTTCTGAAGAAAATTGCAGATAAGTGTAGGTGGGCGCCAAGCATTCCTTATGTACCACTCATTTCTATACAGACCTATCTTGCTTGAGTATAGGGATAACAGTTAAATGTGGTACAGCCGAAGTAGAGGCGTTTAATGTGTATATACCGCCGTTTAGTTTAATGTGTATATAGCCATCTGGTAGTAGATGATTCAATACACGCCATGAGTTGTGGCATTCCGTCCTAGGTCGTGACAAGAGGTGAACAGTGCTGGCAGAGGAAATTGATAGCTCCACCAGTCATAATCATTGTGACATACAGTCGAATAAATGACGCCGATTAGCAAAACGTCATTTATCTTGGCCCAGACCACCTCCCCATAATCGTATCCATTAGCAGACCGCCCGATTTCACCATCTCTGAACAACGCGTATTCTTAACCATAGGAAAATCAACTGGCAAGAGTACCCATTGCTTCACTATCGCTAGATTTATACCTGGCGCTCGAATACCGGAGATGAGACCTAATTTCCCAGCGGAGTCAGTTGATGTGCAAATAAGCGTGATGAGCTCTTTCAAGCTAACCCAGTAGATCCCAGGGTCAGGGAACTCACGTTGGAGGTCAGCAGATTAGTTGCGAAGCATAAGCGGAATAAATGGTTAGAGCGAAGCCAAGTCGTGTAAGATCTCTTCCAACCAAGGTAGTTCCACCACAGTTTACAATGGGTTATGTTGCATGTGCCATCCGTAACGCTAAGTTATCTAAAGCGTTTGATCCTGATGGAATATCCATGGTTATG